GGCATAAACAGTTTTTGCTGTGACGTGATTTATGCTCGGAATGAAATCATCAAAAGCACGATTGACGACCTCACTAGAAAAAAGGTATCTTTCCTTCTCTGTCACTGGAAGCACCCTCTGAAATGGTGGATTCTGTTGTTCACTAAAAAGTGACCATCATTTAAATTAACGTCGTAAATAAAGTCTAACTTTAAAAATATATTCTTATGAGAAAAAAAGGGCCTACAACATTGTAATTAATAAAATATATATCCACACTTCAATGAAACTGTGAATTTTCTGCATAGCCAGAGTTGTATTTCCTCGCTGACGTACTGTTATTACACTTGCATGATCAGAAACATTTCTCTTAGTCAGTCACGTTCACGAAACACGAAAACATATTGTTGGTTTATAAGAATATTCGCTTCACAGAAAAGATTGTGTTAAGTTGCCATATTTGTCACGCGATTGCAACATATAGAAAAACCTCATCCCATTTCGATGCATCGTTAATTGGAAAAACAATACAGTGCAGTGCGGTATTAATTAAACATTATTTTGTGTAAAAGCAAAGGCAAATACATTGTTGGAACTAGAGATATGGACTGCATCTGATAACAAAAATAACATTCCGGTTCCCCGTCGTGCATTTCCTATGAATGGTTTGCGTGAGAGCCGTCGATTAGATTAACTCACGGCCATAACTGACATAGTTGTGCACCGCTTGGCTGACTGCCTCCCTGTGTGCTGATCTCGATTACTGTTGCCAACCCATCATGCAGAACTTGTATTCAAGAATGGCACATTCGAGTGCAGTAACCAACTGCCAACCACGTGCTACTGTGTAACGTCCTTTAAATAAACCTGATAAAATCATACACAGGGTAGATAACTTTGAAAACTTTGGGAACGGTTTGCTTCTCACATTACATTCAATTTAAGAACATCGACAGTTGGGACACTTTCATGCCGATTTTGTTGTCCCAAATTCGCTGATAGATTGTGGTGCTCCGTTTACGGTTTTGGAAATTTGTCAACCTTTCGGTGTTATAAGTGGCAATTAGTGAATTTCGAAGTGCGTCTAATTAAATTCAGAGCTGATCACCCGGTCGCGTACTCTTGTGGAACCTTGGGAAAAATATGATTATTTGGCTGTCGCCCGCCCAGGTTTCTTGCATCTTAAAAAGCTCGAGTAGAATGATTAGCACTGACGTACGTTTATTGAGAGGTTGAGGAGAGTCTCACCACTTCACGACACAGTTATTCTTAAATCTAAGTGAAAAGTTGCCTGCCGTTTGGATAAACCGCATTATTTTCAATCCGAAGACATTTGCATTTTACGTAATTTCTAAAAATTCAGTCGGTAACTTTGTTGAGTATAATAAAATCCATCTATAATAATGCCGCTCATCTATCTCGGGCCGTACGAGCCTGGAACAGTTAATATTTAGTTGACAAGCTTCACACCAGAATTCCAAAAGTGGGCGGAGAGGATAAGAAAGACTGCTTATACTTGTATACATGGGGTAGGTTCCGCTCCATTACAGACACACTCAATAATGTGCTGACGTCAGTGTTAGGACTACTTCAACGTAATCTGCATCCACTCGAACCGGACTTGATGGAGTAAATTTACAGCGGTGGGTGGGCTGGATTAAGTAGTGATGCTTAGAACCATTACGTAAGCCATTCATCTAGGATTTACATCGACAAACCAAAGAACGACATCGAATTTGGGTTTGCTAATGTTAGAGTCATCTGAGAGACTGGATATTTCTGCTGTGCCCATATACGGGTGTGAACGTATGGTTACCAATGCCTACATCTCGTAAATGGCCAACTATCGCTGCAGTCTGACGCCACCGGCCTCGTCGATGGCTTCACCCGGTTGGGAATAACGCAAAAGTTGAAGCGGTGGAGAAGCCCTGTTGTTCTAGTCTTTGCAGTTAATGATACTTTGACCTTTTTGCAATCTTCAGAAGAGATTTGTTATTAGTACAGTTCATAATAAAATACAGTATGACTGGTACGTATAAGCGAGAACGAGTAAATAATCGTTTCGATAGGATAAAAATGGAATATACCAATGAGGAAATGCAACTACCATCAAGGATCATGTACATTTACTTCTCAGTAGACAAAACAATGGTCTCAAATATATGGAGTGTATCATACATAGCGAAACTACTTGATTATTGTGCTGAAAGTTAGTTTTTATGAGTTGTCTGGTTCTACAACCCCAAAAATTCAATCAGTGAATGTTGAATTCAATTCAAACGAGGTGGGATAATTCATTACACACCAGTGTGCCTCACCATGTCACTTACATTCTGTTTGTACAATAATCTGCGGTCTTATCATGAACAACCCGACGAAGGCTGTGCGGCCAATTACAGCAACCTCATTAAAAAAACTATCATCCAAAAATCCAACTCGTATCAGACCCAAGAGTGGCCGCACATCACTGGTCACTTCGACAGTAGAGCGAATAAAAATAAGCAGTTGAGAACGAACATACCAGCCGTGTAAAATGAGAGGCTGCATCGACCGCTGCTGTACGCTCGAGAAGGTTAATTGGATTCTAGTTTCCTACTTTTTGCACATGCGGATCATCCGCCCCATTCGGCTACATAGTGCGCGTACTGCTCTCGCGACAAATCAGCATTCTACCATCACCCTCTTTCAACCTGGGGTTTTCATATTGGAAAATGAATCCTCTCGCAACCAGACAGGCACTGCAAAGGAAAGATGCGCAAATCCTGCTGCAAGCTGCAGATATGCCAAACGCATTTTATACCAATTAAGCCAAAACAAAAATGCTTTTCATAGGCAGCTTCGAATTTCAGCATCACGCATCTTGTGAATAGATAGGTGAATTAGGTCCACTGGCAAGATAGACTATCAAGATGGGTCAATTGATATTAAATATACGTAACTAATCGCCTTTGATGTTTGAACCAGGAGGAATACCTTCGCGAAGGAAGCTGTTCTAAGGTTACCATGAACTACTCGTAATCCTATGGTCAAGGCCCTTCTTGGGCCTAATCAGGTGGGCGCAGTCCACGAGTTCCCGTCAATTTTTTTCTACTTGCAAACAACTTTCACGAAGTTCACATGACTGTTTGGTTTTACGATGAGTGGTTTCCCCCATAAAAAGATGCTGCGATATGTTGAGTATTATGCCAGCTGGAACACAAGCCAGCGTTTGCACAGCACATTCGGTCGACAAACATCAAAAACGAAAGTTTCCGCTACGATTCAGGTGAGTTCCCCATAGAAAACACATTAATGTATCAGGAAGTAGACAGTTCTCCAGCCAGGTAAGCACTAGTAACAGGCACCTTGCAAAATGGAATGATGTTCAATCTCCCACAAAAGGGCATGAGAAAGGGAGGTGTATGGCGTGTGGAAGCAAACAAAGCACTAACGGGAGTCGCATCCAAGCAGACGAGGATTTCACGGAAAGCATCGTCAATTCACTTCAAATTTAAGACTTCTACTACAACATTCTAACTGAGTTATTTTGAGAACCGTTTATTGTCTGAACGCAATCCACCTACAATGAACACCAAAGTGAACAGACGATTAAATTTGTCGCCCATTAGTGCTCAGGTATGAGAAAATGTTAAGATAATGCAGAGTGTTATTTGTGTCGCCCCAGATTTAAAATACTGATGCTACGATGGGTCGCGTGGACAATTTCGCAAGCCGAAGCAGTCATTTGGTCACAATGAATGAAAAATGAACAAAAATACCTATCCCGCAAAACCCCAAAATTGTAACCAAAAATCTGCCCAGTAGGTTTCGAGCTTGTGCCACGCTACCTGACTGGGAAGTCCTGACTGGCGGGTCAATCGACCGACACAACCAGGACAGCTACTGGGTCGTCGTTCGATGAGTCGGGCACACCAATCACATCGCTCAAGTGTGAACACGTTCGCCTTTTTAGACGTGATATTTCAGATGCGCCCAACGTGCGTTGGTGGTTACACGCTCGCCTCACGTGTCAGATATCCGGGGTTCAAATTCCGGCACGGCCATTGGATATGCACTGCTGATGAGCTCCAATAAGAGCGAAACTCAAGTCCAGTGCTTTTATTTGGTGTGGACTCACCAGAATAATTACGCCAGAACAGGAACACGGCCGTTCAAACGAGAGTGGTGTGGCTATAAAGAAGAGTGGAAAATTTACACGTGACAACGCTGATTCACTAAATATTCACCGTTGTACTTGGTAACTGAAGTAGGTATGTGGTATACTGATGTCATAAGGCTCTGTGATTCTAATAATTGAACAAAAAGTTTACCCCACATTTCCCGTGATTAGTTTCATAAAGGCCAAACTCACAGGTGATCGCAGAAATCAGATTGAATGTTGAGATTCCCGATACGGAGCTTTGAGTTACCTTAGGTTTGATGGTCCTGAATATCAAAATATCGAAATTCTAAGCGTAACTCGAAGTCCCGTATCATGGACCTCAACAGAGCTCACTTATGCTCATGACGTCAGCAAGTGCGCATTGCACTGCCAAGGTTTTCAAACTGGACAGCGGCGAGTAAAATTTCGTTTCGATCGTGTGGGTTGCGGAGTCGTCTCACGCGATCACACGAAAATCACGACAGGTCGAGTCAGGTCAGACCCAGACAAGGGGCACGAAATATCATCACCACGATCACATACACACAAACGAACATAGAAGTATCGAACGTAGTGAACTTTGCGGCAAGGTGAATGGCATTTAATGAGAAGCGAACAGGCGGGGGTAAAAAGTGAGTGAACTGAAAAGGTGGAATCATTTGTCAGGTTGGGTTCTGTGGTCTCCGACATAGTTCTTCCATGACTTACAACGCAGCAGGACAAGGGTCAATGGGAAAAATGATAACAGGCACCCCGTAAACACGGATCAATATTATCCTGAATGTCATGGGTTAGTGAATGAGGGGGATAGTCGGAGTACAACGTACTGTATAAAGCCAATAATAAATTTACAAACATCAATATGTGCAATGAGGAAACACTAGCTTATAGGTGAATATTGGTGAGCAGTACCCGAACTCGGTGTAACGTAGTCTCCAGGTGACCTTCCGAAACAAGTCACATCGTATGGTAGACACTGAAAAGCCGCCGATCCAGGTTTCGAAGCATCTGATACAGGCTATAAACTTCAGTAACAAGATGATATAAAAGGGGCTGTTTGGAATTTGATATTACGCACTTCTACGGCTTCCACTCACAGACATGGGGATTCGGCATAGCAATCCGCATCCATAGTGGATGGAACGGTCTGTTCATAGGTATTTAGTGCAGCGCACTCCAAAGAACTGCAGACTGACCGATGACTGTCCTCTTGTGAGGTTGCTTCCTAATCTTATTTATCAAAATGCGTTCCGGCTGGTTGTCCATTCTCTTCTAAGGTAATGGAGACTGCTGTTGCCTCATTCTAGGACCTGAGAGGCATAAAAATGTCCGTTTAGCCTCATGTCTCAGTGCCATCAGTTGCCAATTCCAAGCCTCTTCGTTCATTTCAGCAACTTTCTCCCGTAATTGGGATGGCACAGTCAAACTCTTTACATCATACTAGTAAGGTAAAAAGGAAAAGAGCTTTGTTCAGTTAGGCCAGGAAGGGCTCAAGCCATAACGGATACATAATAAGACTGAAACTGTGTAGAATAGGTCGGGCTGTCAATCTAATCTCATAAACAAAACTGAGTACTGTTTACGTTCCCGATACGGAAATTTAAGTCACACGTGGACATTGAGACCTAATATTTCCTTTTGCTTTTCAGAATCACTAAACCCACGTTCGACTTGCTGTTCAGTTATATATTTCCATATTCGAGAAGAAAGCATGTTGTTTTCGGCCGTGTAGTGAGTTCTGAATTCGGCTTTTTCTTACATTATATCATAATCCTGCGGGTTCGCGTATCCCGAAATGCTGTATATATCCATCTTTTCTACACAAAAGTTGTGTATTTTCGTCATTTTCCGTTTCTGTTCACGTGCGTTGGAATTTTTTCGGTACACTACGGAATAAGGTTCGGTTATCTAGGAATCCCGCCAATGCACACATGAATATCTCAGCAGCGACTGCATTTTAGCTCACTCATTTCTTAACCACGTTAGGCCTGGGAAACTAACGCACGACAAGCCACCCAACCTATTTAGTTATGTAGCTATTCAAAAGCGTGTGATGGCCTGCAAACATTATTTAAGAAACTTCAACTTATGGCAAGCCGGTTGCTAGGTGAGTTGTTTGTAGTAAGGCAAGCAAGTGCTCTCAGCGGTGGTAGAATGCATTTTCGGAACTTAAACTGGATCTGGTAAACGTATCTTAGTTTTCTAAACGTACTCCCATCTTCAGTGTTTTCTTCAAATATTTATTAAGCCGTTATCATTGCTTGTATTACTTTGCAACAGATTTGGTGTTACGGTAATGTCACTGCTTGATACAGTAACCAATTGACCTCGCGGAAAGTTCCTGAGTCCTGATTGGTCGATCCGTCTAATTGGGATGTGTCCGCCCAGAATTAGTCCGCTGGATCTTCGTCCTAAATCTAGCTGGTGAGTAACTGCGCTTTAATCCAGGTGGGGGACTAGAGTTTTGAACCGTTTCACAAACATACTGGATTTTGTCATCGTAAACCACGTATGATATCAGATGTTCCAAGTTTAATTTGGCGGAAGCACCAGGAGGGCCGTACCCTAATTGACAATGCCGTCCAACCTGTTAGCCAACTCCAACACAGCTACAAACCTAGCGGCCGAGGGGATTGAAAATCCTAATGCTGCATCTCATACACGCGCAGCCATTTTTCCATTCGCTTCTCCACTATCCACCTTCAGTTTGAAAATGCAGCTGGAACAAATAGGAGGTAAAAGTAAAAAATCCACGCTTGCGGGTCAGAAACTCTCCTCCGAATCTGGATTGATGTTTCGAACACAACTTCAGGACAAGGAGTACGTGTACCTTAATGCTGCGGAGTTCGGAGAGGTTGATGTGGTTCGCGAAATGTTGGGTGACCCGGAACTTGATGTGAATTGTGTCGACTATATGGGTCGAAATGCATTGCTACTGGCTATAAAAACCGAGAATATCGACCTGGTTGATTTACTTGTATGCCATTTGGATTTCTACTCAATTGAAGATGCCTTATTGCATGCAATTAGTCAATCAAAAAACCATTTGGTGAAACTGATAGTAGATCATCCTCAGTATATTCGCCTTGAAAAACATACGAAATCCAAAATTCACGGAAAACACAATGAAGCCGTTTACGTGAAACGTTCTCAGTTCTCTTCCGATATTTCCCCACTGATGCTGGCTGCTCATACAAATAATCATGAAATTATACAACTACTGCTTGATCGCGGAGTTAAACTAGAGATGCCCCATGATCGTTCGTGCGTTTGTGTGGACTGTGAAACAATTCGTGGACAGGTGAGTGCCCTCGAATGGTCATGAAGAAGGATGTGCATGTTGTATTTTTGGAGCTATGAAGTTGTAACACATTATGACAACACCGGTAGGTTTGAGATGACAAGGTTTCTATATTACCCTGTTAAAAGCAGTGCCAGAAATGTGGATGATAATATTCATCGATGGTTCCACACAAATAATCTTGCATCTAAGACAAACATATTTAAACTTCCAGTGAATAAATGGTGGTACGCAGGACCTTCAATCCTGATGAGATAACCTCACGTAACCGACCAAACGTGAGTTCTCATGGCGAATTAGCCAGTTAGAAAAAAACAAGGAAATGCTTTTTCAGGACAGAAGAATACCTATAAAACTGGTGGAATACCGCCATCCCCAAACAGTCTTAGGCATAATAGTACATCACTCAGATGTTCCAATAATTCCACGTTAAATCCCCACACAACCAGTTTCAGTTCTTACTGTTCCTAAAACCTTTAGGTCAGGGTCACTTTACCAACTTCTACATCATCGAACAAAACGTCGTGCGTGTCTTCGGTTTTGTAGTCTAAGTCTTGTCTTTATCATATACTCCTAATAAAGTTTCACGCCCATTACTTGGTTAATATTGGGTCTTTTAGATGAACTGAGAATAATGTGGGATAAAACCTTGACTATCCGCGACAGCTCTGATCCTTCTGGTCTGGCTCTGGCTTAGTTAAACTCAGCTTTAGAGTTATACTGTCATAAAAGTTTGGAAGATTTTTTCCTCGTGGAGACCCACATTACAAAATCCCCCGGAATGAACACCCTGTAAATATGAGGAATACGGTCTGTTAATAAAGCCGTACTGTTTTCTAATCGTACGTTCTGGATCCAAAATGTGTGCTTCCGTGCTGGGAATCCTGGAATTCTGAACAGTTACAAAACCTGCATAGTTTTGTGCCAGCAGCAACTATGCCATATGTTGTACACAGTCTCTACTGGTGGCAGAGACCTGCGTGGATATAGCGATTCTAATCCGTTATTTATAGAGCAAATGCGATGTCCACCAGTAACCAAGGCAAGCCGTTAGCAAATCTGTGCGTGTTTTTCAATGTTGTGTTAGAAGAACAGTACTTTCGTGCTGTTATCTACCCTCCAATTGGTGGCGCAAAAGTTCAGTGAATCAACTTGTAGTTAATCGTGACACCACGGAAAGGATTTTGAATCTATAGCACTAATCCACAAAATTGCCCAAAACATAAATTCAGTTTTAGTCTGATGAAGCGGACAACAGTGAACACAAGGTCGCCTGATTACAAGCAAAAATGACAAATGTTATTTTTGCCTTGGTAAATTTGTCATTTACTGGTCTGTGATTTCAGATGATGGGTATTTTGTTCAACTCACAAATTTAATTAAAAAATGCCAGGAAAGCGAGCAATACAGTTTTTTTCGGGCATATTTTTTACAGACAGGTAGGAATACATTTTTCTCCAAAAGAGGCAAAAGCATAGACAAGTGATTTTTCAAAATTGCAAGATTGTACAAATACAACTACGGAGCATTGATGCTTCGGCCACCTGAGGTCAAATAAGTTCTATGTAAGAACACCAAGGTCACTGCCTTGTTCGCCAGGCCAAACAAGGACTGCCTTCGTTAACCAAATAGCCTGTGTACTCTACTTAAGGACGACATTTTTAATTTTCTCAGTACTCAGTAGAAAAAAAGCCGTAAAATTAGGGCCACAAACAGATGGAAAATTTAAAATGACTAGTTTTACTGACCCCCGAATAGCCAGGGCAATTAGAGGAAAGCCAGCATTTTGTTGTCGGGACAATGTAGGTACCCGCAAGACAGTTTGATCGGTCTGGATTTACTGATTAGGATCTTACATGCTGGAAATAGTAGGACGCTTCGGCATTAGCCATTGCCGAAATCCAAGCCTTAGTGGTCACCGTGTGGTCACCTCAACCATGAAACATTTGACGCGAAGCATTCTTGACCCATTTTTATTCGTTTGGTTCAGATAAACGTATTACCGACAGATCTCTTTAAACTAGCCTTCATAACTGGCAATGCCTCCTGATTATGATCATCTCACGAGAAAGTTGACCAGATGCGAGATGAAAGAACAAACTATTTCTCATTATAATATGCAAACGTCATCGTTATAAAATTGCAGATCTGCGAAAAATGGGACACTTAGTACGGACTGATGTTGTCCATTCACAACTTTGAACATTTTGTAGATATTGTTTCGCAGACATGCAAAGTGTCTCTTGTTTGCAGTCTATGTACATGCTTGTCTGTCTTGCCACTCTAGTCTTTCACGGACTAGCATTTCCAGGTGACCATTGCAGGTGGGAAAACAGCATTGGAATTGCGGTCTCTAGGGCAACTTTTGGTCGCCACATTTTTTGCTTAGGTGATAAACTCACGCCCAAACTCCGTTTTACTATTACAAAGAATTTTAAGTGTCTGTACGGGGCGCTGCAGCCTTGATTACAAGAATGAACTCCTTACCGTACGTTTAGTGTTGGATAAACATATATCGCATTGTGGAATTAGAAAATATAAGCCGTCTCCCTGGGTGCTGACACGCGTGGGTTAAACTTTTTTACTCTTAGAATCTTTTACATATCCGTTACTTTAGAAACCTAAGCATTCAGAATAAGTCTTTCGGAATAAATGTCCGCCCATTGCACTGAAGCCTTTTATTTCAGAAAATTCGGATTCCAGTATATGCTCCATTCTAAACAGACCAGCGATTCATCCAATATCATTCCTAGCCTAATTATAAATAGATTTTAACTTGACCTCTCTTGCTAACCATTCCTGTAGCAGAGAGCCTACGAAGATGAATCAGAGCATGACCTCATGACCAAATTAT